ACGACGGCACGATTCGCTGTGCGTCGGGTTTGAGACCGGCAGACCCTCGATGGTCCCAACCTGGTCCTATAGATTTGTTACTGGGGGCCGACGCCCTGGGGTTCATCTTATTAGGTGAGATACGAGCTCTTGAGCCCGATGGCTAGCCATGTCCACGATATTTGGGCACAGCTTCTTTGGACCGGTTATGTGGTCTCCTCCCCCTCCGACGGCCGACCCGCTCTCCGTTGTCCCTTTCGGACGCCGTCCAGCGGTTCTGGGAAATTGAGGAATCACCACATGCAGCTCGAGTCGACCCTCTGGACCGTGAGTGCGAGTTGTTCTACCAGAACAATACCGGCCGGCGGGTCGACGGTAGTTTCGTCACTCTCTTACCCTTTCTGGACTCACGTCCCTCTTTAGGTCAATCTCGTGCTCTAGCCGAGAAGAGGTTTCTTTCCATGGAGCCCATGGACCCAGCCTTTCGCGACAAATATGTCGAGTTCATGCGCGAGTATCAAGAGCTGGGTCACATGTCACCGTCCACCGACATTCGGATAATGTTTCGACAATCAGTGGTCCATCGTGATGACCGTCGTTATCAGCTGATATTATGGCGCGAGAAGCCCAACGATCCGATACAGGTGTTTGAGTTGAACAGCACCACCTATGGACTACTGTCCAGCCCGTATATCGCCATGCGAACCCTCCTTGAACTCGCTGAGAAAGAACGCCTAAGATACCTCGGGAGCTTCTATTTTGGAGACTTCGGTCTACATGGACGACATTTGTACGGGCGCCTCCACCGTCGAGGAGACTCTTGTCTTGCGAGATGAATTAATTGCCATCCTGAAGTCCGGAGGTTATGAGTTGCGCAAGTGGTTGTCGAACTCCCCTCATATTTTGAAGGACCTCCCAGGAGAGGACCAACAAGACCCTCATCTGTTCGAGCACCCTGAAAATCCTAATTTGTTGACTGCGCTGGGCATTCAATATCAGCCTGTTCAGGACACCTTCACGTATCGATTAAAACTTGATCCCCCTCCCAAAGCAAGGACCAAGCGCTCCGTGCTGTCTACAGTAGCTCGCACCTTCGATCCAAATGGATGGATCACCCCGGTCATCTTTTCGGCTAAGTGCTTTCTTCAAAAGCTCTGGATGTCCGGGTTTGGTTGGGACGAGCTTATTAGCGGAGCCCTCTTGCAAGAGTGGCTCTCCATGGTCTCCTCCCTTCCGGACATCAACCGAGTCTCCATGCCAAGGTGCTTCCTCCCTCCAGGGAAGTGCCGGGCTGCCCTACATGGGTTTTGCGACGCCTCCGAGAAAGGCTATGCGGCCGTCGTATACTGCGGACTGTGAGTTCTTCTGGTCATACTGTAGTCCATCTCGTACTCGCTAAAAGTAAGGTTGCTCCCATTAGGTCCCGCTTAACTAATCCTAAATTGGAACTGTCCGGAGCCGCTCTTCTCGCGCGACTCCTCAACCACGTTCACTCGTCCTTGAAGCCTGTAATCGACATTACGGACGTCTACGCATGGTCGGACAGTGAGATAGTACTTTGTTGGCTCAGAGCTGCATCTCACAATCTTGAGGTCTTTGTGGCGAACCGCGTGTCTCAAATCCAGAGTTCTGAGACTTCTCTAAACTGGAGACATGTCCCAGGGGAGTTGAATCCCGCAGACTGCGCTTCTCGCGGCTGTGAGGCCCCCTCGCTGGTTGACCACCCACTGTGGTAGGGTCCCGGTTGGTTATCTGAGTCTCAGTCACTCTGGCCCCAGGGTAATTACTCCGCACCTACGGAATTGCCGGGCCTACGAGCCCGAGTAGGAGTGGGCAAGGATAAGCCCACTCGGGATCTCTCTCTTCTGGATCGGTACAGCTCTCTCGACAAGCTCTTAGGAGTGACTGCTTGGTTGCGCCGCTTTGTCCGCAATTCGAGAGACCCGTCCAACCGACTCTCTGATTGCGTTTTGTCCCCTAGCGAGCGTCGTGAAGCTTTGATGCATTGGACCCGTATGTTCCAAACGGAGCATTTTGAGCCCGTTATTGAAAACTTGAAGCGTGGCTCCGTTATCAAGGGCGCTCTGGCCCGCCTGAACCTCTTTCTGGACGACGCTGGGATGCTGCGCGTTGGTGTACGTTTGAGAAATTCCCAACTGCCGTACGGGTCTCGACACCCGTTACTGCTCCCCAAGGACGGCGCCTTTGTCCGGTTGCTCGTAACCCACCATCATGTTAAGAACACCCACGCTGGGTGTAACGCTCTTTCAGCTATTCTGCAGCGGGAGTTTTGGATTTTGGCTGGCCGACGCACCCTTCGGAGCGTCATCTTTAAGTGCATATCCTGTTATAAGCTGAAGGTCACCATATCGCAGCCTATGATAGGCGACTTGCCGCCCGACCGCGTCAGGGCCATCCGACCATTCGCTGGAGTCGAAACAGACTTTGCTGAACCCTTCCTCGTCAAGTCCTTTAACCTTCGTAACGCGCGTTCGCATAAGGCCTATCTTTGCGTCTTCGTGCGCCTCTCCACTAAGGCCGTTCATTTGGAACTTATAAGTGCCCTCAGCACGGAAGCCTTCTTTGCCACGCTGGGCCGTTTCGTATCGCGGCGCGGTTTGCTGGTTTCCGGTCGGATTGCGGAACGAATTATAAGGGCACGGATAGATATCTAAAAGAGGTCGTCGAATTTCTGTCCAGCCACCGGACTTATTTAGGCAATGCGATGTCAAAAAGGGGCATCCAGTGGAAATTCGACCCTCCAGCGTGTCCATACTGGGGCGGTATTTTTGATGCGGTGGTTAAAGTTACAAAAACGCATCTCCATCGCGTTGTTGGTGAAACCATTTTGACATTTGAGGAGCTCGCCACTGTATTCTGTAAAATTGAGGCGTTACTCAACTCTCGGCCCCTCTCATCCGATACAAATGATTTGGAGGTTCTAACCCCGGGACACTTCCTGATTGGCCAGCCGCTTAACGCTCTGCCCGAGTACCCCTTCAGGGAAACGAACTCTTCGCGGTTGAGCAGGTTTGGCCTGCTGCAACAGATGACTCAGAGCTTTTGGCACCGAAGGTCTCTAGATTACCTACATCTTTTGCAGCAGCGCATTAAGTGGTCTGACAAGACGGATCCTCCTCGGGTGGGAGACCTCGTGTTGGTTAAAGAACCCAACGCTCTGCCTTTGTATTGGCGCCGGGGGCGCATTGTTAAGTTGTCGTATGGATCGGATGGGGTGCCGAGGGTGGCCGAGGTTTTGGTCGGAGATTCGGTCTTGCAACGTGCCGTCGCAACTTTTTCCCGTTTGCCAATCTACTCGCGGACATAATTCCTTACGTCCGGGGCAGGGGGTTGTTTAAGCCAATATTAAATATTTTGAGAATTGTGTTATAATCGCTCGTTAATAGCTTCGCCCAGTAGCGAGGTCACATCCCCCCCCTCCCCCGCGCCGACATTCCTTTCAAGCGGGCTGACCGGACACGCCTCGAGTTAGTGTAAAACTTTTTCGGTCGGAACGGAGGTTTCTGGTTTTATTACTTAATTTTTGTCACGAACGGAGTTAAAACTAGTACCGCTGTCGTTGGCGGGAACACGTGTTGTTCTTTACGGATTTATAACTTCGGTTAAAGCAATTGTGCAATTTATATAGAGATTTCGTTCGAAGTTCCTTTTTTTGACTGTACCATTACGTGAATAGACTGAACTAGTGCCTCAAGAAGGGAATTGTTCCGGGGCTACAAGAGAATACCTTCTCCAGAACAGCATCGTGTCATCTAGCCCAGGCCACTTACACACAGTCTCACACAAATACCACCTACACTCACTACACTTTCATCAGCCGGGCAGATCCTGGTGAATAGTCTTCGCTCCCGAAGCAGGTAAGTGCCTTCCCGTTAACTGGCCTGCCCCCTTGATTGTGATAGGATATTTCCCAGTGGCCTTTAGAGGCCCGACCTGCGTCTGTCCGTAGAATTCCTGCTTGGGCCCCGGGATAGCCTACCTTTGCAGGGGTAACCGTAGGCCGTATCAAGTTGACCCCACCACCGTGGGTGGTCAACCAGCGAGGGGGCCTCACAGCCGCGAGAAGAGCAGTCTGCGGGATTCAATACAGTCCTATATATTTGCCGATTGATTGAAGAGATAGTGATTTTGAGAACGAAGTACCTTTCATTCTGTTTCTCTGTTGATAAAGAGTTTAGCCAGCTTTTAAAAATAATTAAAAATTAAAAATTTTGTACAACCAATTTCAACATAAATTATTAAGGATAACTCAAAAACTATTTGTCAGACTTTGATCAAATTTATATGGGACCATTTGAGAAGCACCAGCTTTCAAATAAAAGAGAAATCATCGAAATCGATTTACCGCGAAAAAAAGTTTTAAGGTAACACATATTAAAAAGAAGAACACAGTCGAATTGCGTACCTCCTCCTTTTTGAAGTCGGTAGATAACCGTTGAGATGGTGTTGATGTAGCGAATGCGTTCAAATATTTCACCGCAAGTTTTATTTTTATTTTAGATAGGTAGAACCAATAACATTGTTCTAAACATGCATTGGATCTTGTTTAAGATCGACCATTGGATTTTAAAAATACAACTGACAAAGAAACACAACCAACAGTTCTCTATCTACGACCAACAGCGACACCACAGAATAACAAAGCGAAACCAGTGACAACTGCGAAATTACAGGCGTCACTTGACAGTTAAATTTGGTACACCATAACGATATAACATATATTTAGGTTATCAAAGCGTTCAGGAATTCTGAATTATTCAAAATTTTAAATATTTTAGAGGAGATGCAAGATTTAGTTGATATTGATTTCACGTGTTCGCATTTTCCCAATCATAGATTATGGGTTCATTGACATCGATGTTTCGATGTTTGACATGAGGCAACATCGATGTTAAAACATCGGTGTTTTAATTTTTGACATCGATGATCATCGACCATCCCTAATGGTTACGTTTATTTGTGCGTTAATGCGTTTGCTATGCTTTGCGAATTTATGAAAAATGAATGACCAAGCCAGAACCTTAAAATATCTTATTGCTGTAGAAAAACTGGCTGAAGAAATATTGTGCGATAAGCAAGAAATTGTTATGTTGGACAAAAGAAGAAATCATAATCGGGAAGCTTTACGCGCTCTAACAAAATCTTCTCAGTCCAAATGTTGGGTTACGATAGGGTCAGTTGTTATAAAACATGATATTGTAGCAACCAAGTCTCTTTTGGAGGCTGATCAAATTCAACTGAATATAGATATCAATAAACTTAGGTCGGACCTCAGAATAAAAGTAAATAACTTAAGGGATTTAGAAATGCAACCTCCTGTGCCTGGTTTAATGTTAGTTCCTATGTCAAGTTCAGAAAGTGATGGCCTTGCAAGGGCTGGTTTATTTTCTTAATGTGTGTATGCTGCTATAATATATGTATTTATACACAGGATTTCATTGTTTCTTGACTTTATGAATATGTTTTTTTACAGGTAGCACTATAAAAAGGTTAATTTACCAAAATTGTTTTTGAATGTATTTTATGGTAAATAAGTTGTTTGTCTGTGAGATGAGAGCTATGGTAGTTCAAGGGTTATGTACTCACCATAAAATGTGATCAACCAGGTTTCGATCTCCGGCACTAATAAAATTGTTAATTGCTATTTTAAGTGCTAATTTATCCCATGCTCCCATGCAACATCATCAAGTTTACTGTAGTGTAAGAATATCTACTACCGCATAATGTGCCATAGGTATTGTAAGTGGCAACAGAGGGAAACTGATCCAGCAGGTCGGCAGCAGCAACTTTCAAATAATTATTTTAAAAAAAAGCTGTTGTTACCTACCCGCCTGCCAAGCGTGCCAACTATGGAAAATGTCCCCTAGGAGGAAATCTATGGGATTAGGCGTATGTGGACTTTGAAAGGCTGTAATAGTATGGTCTTGTAGGAAATCATTGTGAGGAAACTGGTATGTATAAAAACTGAGTCTGTAATGGGATATTGGGGAAGTGCAATGGATCTTTGCACTTAATCTTATGAAAAATGAGTAACACTGATGTAAGCGACTTTATTAGTAATATTTTACTGATGTGAAGTCTGTTAGATGTTATTTTAAATGGTTTATTATTTTTAAACTATGTAACAAATGGTTATTTTATTGATTTATGTTTGTATGGTTTTTACGTAACCACAATAATAGGGTAATAGATATGATTTCCAAACACCATTATATCAAATATTGAATGAATGTAAGAACAGCATAATTTGGAATATTTATTCATAGCTTAAATAATATTTTTATTAAACTAATAAACAAGAACCATAACAAACTCAGTATTTTTTGTTTGACCTTGTATGTAAGCTTTAAGAAAAATAATGAACAAAATTCTTTTGGCACAAATCAACCAAAATTATTATTATTATTAAACCTCATAGTTGTTAAACTTAAATTTAACTTACAGTCTTCTCACAGTTGTGCAGAGCATTGCAGGCATAAAGCCTTACCACATGCATAGCAAGCAAACCTTGTTTGCCATTTTCGTTTAGAACATATCGAATACAATCATGCATGGCTAGCATGGGCTGGGGACAAAAATTTTATCCCCCGATTATATCCACTGACGAAATAAAATTATCTTGTCCCTATGCCAAAGCATGGCAACGGGGAGAAGTATATCCCCGTTTGACATAACGAATAGACATATATCGACTGCCTCGTTGGTCTAGTGGTTGTAGTAGTGCGACTGGTGATCATGAGGTCCCGGGTTCGAATCCCGGGTCGGGCCAAAAAAATCAGTTATTGAGTTTTTCCATCAAGAAATTCTCAGTAGCTGCCCGGAGTCAGGAATCCGGCGGTGTTTCACCCCCGTGCCTCGGAAAGCACGTAAAGCCGTTGGTCCTGCGCCTGATCTCTCTCCGGTCGTGTCGGTTTACCGTCCCATCGGACTATGAGAGTGAGGGAATAGAGAGTGCACCTGTGCTTGCGCATACACTTGGGCACTATAATCCTGTCCTGCGCAGATGGCTAGTCTCCGCTGAGACTGGCCGCCGTGACCGAAATTCGGTCTGGAGGACATTATTATTCATTATTATTAGACATATATCCTTTGTCCGTAGCATGGAGCCAAATTAAAGATAAAAAATTATGCTTTTTTGACATTTGAAAGGGACAATTCTATCCTAGTTCATTGGACACGTGTTTAAGTTTATGTTTAAGTTTAAAGGCGATCCAGGTTCCGAAAAGGCGTTAGCACCGTAGACCACATACATACCCTTCGGCAAATTGTACAGAAGACTGAGGAGTACAATCTTCCACTATATCTTATGTAGATATGTGGACTATGAGAAAGCCTTTGATTGCATTGAAATTTGAGCGATGCTGCAGGTCCTTCAGTGGTGCCAAGTTGACTGTCGGTATATTGAAGTGTTGAAGCGTTTGTACAGTAGGGCTACGATGGCTATCCGAGTACAGAACCAGAGATGAACATGGACAAAACAAAGATCATGTGTAACATCCAGAACACACCTATGCCGGTAGTTGTTGGGAGCACTAAGCTCGAAGTTGTTGACGTGTATGTCTACCTGGGACAAATGGTCCGACTAGGTTAGTTCAACTTCCTCTTGACCTCTCGGTCAATCGACGGATTCAACTCTTCTGGCAGCGTTCGGGATATTATGACACATCTCGTCTCGTCAGGTACTCTTGCAATTCACGAGTGTGGTCGACCTTTGGATGTGGTTTGACATGTACAAGCACAGTGTGACAGTGTGCGTGCCTGGCAGAGCGGGCGTCCGCTCCACATTCCTGTATATACTTATTATACTCTTTGGTCTGCTTAAATAAAGCTTAAAATTACCTACCCATACTCATATTAACATTTTTGAAAAGCTAGTTTATTTCGTGTTATTTATATATTTAATAGAGCCCATACTATTGTAGAAAAATAAATCAAAACCATATAGTCATGGTAATTGTGACCATTGTCAATTTGCATTAATGGGCAAAGCGGCAATGGTTATATTATGTGGTAGCCATTTTATATCAGCCTTTTAAGTTTTAAGGTATGTACTAGAGTTAGTGCTGCTGCTGTATACAGCCTTTCACTCTTTTGGATCAATGTAAAAGCTTTATCGTAGGATAGCATAATAAATGTTTTGCAATTTTTCTGCTGTAAATTCCAGAATTTTGTACATTTCTTTTAGTCTTCGGGATAGCGCGGCGAGGAAAACCATCAGTCTTATTATTTCAGATATTTTGAATTTTCCATCATTTTGTTTCTGAAAGCTGAAAGCTGAAAGAAATTACATTATGATGACTTGACTATCATTTTAATTTTGAAACAATACAAATATAAATTGTTTGATAAATCTTTTACAGTGGCGCAGCACTGGTCTCAGAAATATCACGGGGATGGCGAGGCAGCAAGGTGTTTAATTTCATCTTGCACTTAGTAATACTATATATTTCTGTTAATTTTTTGACATTGGTATCTACAACTGTCCACAATTAATTAAATTTAATAGCAAAATCGAATTAACCTTGCAGTTTTTCTAGTAACATGAGCATTTCGGAATATTACGTGACGCCGCTGACGGTATTCATCTTAAGATTCGTAATATTACGGCTATGGTGGTGAAAGGGTTAAGAAGTAGTCGAAAGAGAAAATGGGGATATTTTTCATTCAGGACTCATTAATTTTCTGTAGAGCACACATAAGAGAGAGCGTAGAGACGTACACTCATTGCTTTATGGCCCCTCTTCACGTTGGCCAACACAGTGGCGAATGTGTTGGCAGAGTTATTGGCCAAGAAATTGGGATCGCGTCCACACGTTGGAAGGTCGTTCAGTTTGCTTCGGTTCAGGCCAATGTGCGGACGAATTTATTAAAATGATTATTAATGCGCTAACGGCTGCTGCGGTTTATTTATTCACAGCATACCACTGTTTCTTTATTTAATTTTCACTATTTTTAATATTTAATATTTTTAATATAAATTTTTAATATTTCTTTATTATACAATAACGTTATACAGATAAGTAAACTATATAAACATTAACACACCTAGGCATAGGTATAATTAACTAAGGCCTGGAAAATATTCGAAGCCTGTCTATGAAACTGTTGTAAAATTTTTATTAAACAAAACCTTTTTAAAAAGGGTTATTATATAATTATAGAATATATTTATTTATTTACACTTTCATGCACAAAGTAGTACATATGGCGAACTTAATAATAATAATAAATAATTTATTTCGTCAAACATTAAAGTTACATTATATGATCACTGATCGAGGTCACCTAGTAAGCAAAATAATGCCTGTAACAAGTGACTTCGCTCTTCCATAGCTAAAAATTACAGTATTATTAACGAAATGAAGTAACTAATAGGGAATAATAAAGACAGTAAAAACATGATTTTAGTATCCTACTTTTTAATTTGATTTTAATATATATTATATATTATAGATTTTAAGATATTTAATAAATCAATTAATACATCAATAAATAAATTAATACATCAATCACTACAACGTGAATGTGTATAAGATAAGGGTGATCAAAAAGAAATGGAAAAAAGAAATTTTATATCTTGACGGCTCTGTGGCGTAGTGGCTTAGCAATGAGTTGCTGCCCTGGGGGCCGCGGGTTCGAATCCCGTACGGAACAAGTATTTGTATAGCCTGCGCATAATTTCTCCGGGTCTGGATAATTGTCCTTATGCAATTTATGTTTCTAAACTGCCTCCACGATACAGGAGAAAATCTTAGTGTATAATAATATTTTTTTTTAAAAAGACTTGTGTTTTACAAACAATTTTCGGCTTGGTAGGGCTCTATAAAGCGAAAGGTTTTTTCATTGGTCATTGTTACTGCCGTTATGTAAACACTATTGCGTGCATATAAAATTTAAATCAGGTGCGTGCATTCACTCTGGGAGCTCGTAGCAAACTGAACGTGCGCCCAACGTGTGGACGCGGCGGCCAATACTCTGCCACAACCCTTTGATCTTTTGTAAAAAACCGACACCAGACGGATCTCGCGCCAACTTGTGGGCCATCGTTCCAATACGTACCAACGTAGCTTAAACACCCGCTCTACACGATGGCCATCGTTGTTGGCCAACACATTGGCCAGCGTGTTGGCCAACGTGAAGAGCCGCCGTTATGCTAATGACGCTGCCTTCGTCGGAATTTTTTCCACATGAAAAGTAAATATTCATAAACAAATTTGCACACGCTTTCTTTCTTTTTTGTGACTTGTCTATGTTGAGAAGAATGGCGTTTTGGCACAATTCTTCTGGCATCACGCATCTGGAGTAGAAGTTCTGTTATCTTGGGTCAATCGTGTCGAGTAAAGGCGGCTCTTCACGTTGGCCAACATACTGGCGAATGTGTTGGCCAACAACG